TGTCTGTCTGTCTGCATAGAGGAGTCACCTCCTCATCACCTCACCCTGCTCCATTAAATCTCTTGTCACTTGAGGTTGTAATGCTGTGTGCCAAGTCGTGCCACCCCTTGCCCATCTCCTTGGTTGCAGGGTGGTGCCCATCGAATTGTTTGCAGGGTGGTGACATCAAAGTCAAGGGGCCTACCCCCTAGCACTGTCCTGAAGGGACAGAGGGATCAAGGTGGCCTTAACGCTTTGTTCCTTGCGCCTTGACCTCTTAAGCAACACTGGCAGAATTTTCCATCTCTGTGTCCCTTGCAGTGTCGGGCCCTTTGTCCTACCTGCATTTGGCCATCCCAGATTCACTTCTGGAATGCAGAAAAGCCTCCAGGGTGGGTGCTCGGGCTATGACTCTGGAAATATCCAGCTTCTGCTGGTGGGAGTGTGTGGGCTCCAAGGAGGAGACATGAAAGGATTCTGCTCACCCTTGGCCCAGATCAGAGAGTCCAGGTGCAACACAAGCTTAGTGGACACATGCTTGTTGACTCACCTTCCCAACAAATATTTGGTATGTGAAGACTTGTGTCAGGGACCGGTTGTTCCAGGATGAACAATGCAGAGCTCCTGCCCCAGAGACCAGTCTGAGTGGGGGCGGCCATGACAATGAACTCATCAGAATGGACAAAGCTATGATGGAGAAGAGTACACGGTATGTGTGTGCACGGCAGAGGGAGGAGCATGTGCCCAAGGGCTGGGGTGAGACCCAAAGGACAAGGGAAAGTCAGAGTCGGGAAATGGTGACTGCAGAGCAGGGTCATAAATGCAAAGGCCCTGTGGCAGGGCAGGATTGGAAGTTCTTTGGGGAGAATGAGGGCAAGGTTTAAGCATGTCTGGAGCTGTGGGAGAGGAGGAGTCAAGATGTTCTGATGGAAGGGGTGAGTTAGGAGACAGGGAGCAGCTCTTACAGAATGATCTTCTCCTGGGGATGGGGTTCATGCATCTGGAAGTCTCCAGGGTAACTTGTCCCAGGCTCCTGCCCCTGTGCATACACGGGTCCATCTAAGTTCACCTTCTCCAGAGAGGCTGGAGTGAAGCCCGCCTGAGCAGTGCCCCAGAAGGCAATGCCCCTATAGCATCCTCTGTGCCTGGGGCGGTGGGGTGGGCTGGGAGGCGGGGCGAGGCTGGAGACCTTGCATGACGAGGACACTGACAGGGCTTTATCTGGAAGAGAGCCAGGGAAGGGCAGGCTTTCCAGCATTCGTGAAATGAAGGACAAGAGGGAGAATTATGGACCGCAAGACTTTGGAATCAGGCACCGGAGAAGGAGAAAGAGGAGGTGAAAGAGGGAGTGTGGACAGAGGGAGGCTGGGAGGAAGGGAGGAAGAGAGGCCAGAGGGAAGGGGAAAGAGGGAGGGAGAAATGTGTATGTGGTGTCTGCAGAAACGATATGGCCACATACCCAACCCGATGGGGCTGCCTCCCTCACACCAGAAATCTTTAGACGAGTATGCACTGTGCCATGCCTCCCTTCCTGGAGAACAAATGCTTTGGTGCCACTCGCTAAAATATATTTTGCCTGCACTAGAAGCCTCCTGAGTGCCTGGGGATTTTCCAAGAGAGGGTGCATTGTCCCGGATCAACAGCATTCAAAGTCATGGCTGCTATTTACTAAGGGCCTAGAGTGTGCCAGAAACGGTCACAAGAGGTACATAAACGGGTGCTTAATTTAAGTCCGTCTTGATTGTGGAGTGCCCATCAAACTTTGCAGAAGCGCTGAGTCCAAAGGCTTCAGGTGCTTTGTTCAAGGTCGAAGGGATGATTAGCAACAAAGCTGGGACTTGTCCCTGAGTCTGACCAAAAGCTAGGCACACCCTGTTCCAAATGGCACCCAAGCACACCAGCTAGTCTGAGCGGGGCCTTCCATCTCTGGCACGGTCTGCAGGCCCCAGGTACTCCCGCTGCCTTACTTGCTACTGACCGATGCATAACAAATCATCCCGGAAACAGCAGCATGAAACAATAGACAGGTTATCCCTCAGAGTTTTCTGGACTAGGGATCCAGGCACGGCTTAACTGTGGCCCTTGTTTCCCAGTCACTTGTAAGAGTGCCATCAAGGTGCTGGCACACGGAGAGCGGTCTCTTCTGTAGGCCTGGATGAGGAAGGATTCTTGTGCGTCTTGGCAGTTTCTAATGGGCTTTAAGTAGGATGAGTGCCTTGGTTCCTCTCTGGCTGGTGGACAGAGACTGCCATCGGCTCCCTGCCAGCGGGCCTTCTCCATCAGGCAAGC